TCCAAGCAGTGGAGCAGACCGGACCGGCAGATGTTCAGGTTAGATGGATCCAAACGTATACACGAGAATGAAATCAGCGTGGGTTTATTTGGTCCAAAATACAGCGACAAATAGTGATACAATACTGTAAGGTAGTAGAGGTATTGATGCTGTCCTGTGATATCTTTCCTGAGGCTAACTGCTGGTCAAAAACTGATGCCTTCACAAGCCCAGGGTATTGAATGTCCTGTCACACAGCTATAAAACACAAAAAAAATGGCTGCAGGAAGTGACCAAACCAAGGCTTGCCTAAAACCACACCCAGCAGAGAAAACACTTACTAGCTATAACAAAGGCATGCAGCATGCAAATTCTGGCCAGCAGATGGCAGCAACAGATCAAGACATAGAAACAAACATGGTGAAATAAGAATTGGTGATACAATGCACAGTTAAATATAACAAATATGAGGGGAACAGCACACTCCCCGTCTGAAATTCCATAAGGGATTTCACTATGACGAATGTCCATAAAATATAAAACAACCTGTAACAAAGAACATGTTAGAATGCAATAAACATAACAATATAGTAGACTCCGAGTTGGATAGAGAAGATCCACAAAGTTCAAGTTCAGGAGAGTTCACCCAGCAGGAATGTTCTCGATGGGTAGTATCAAAATGAGTTCGTTAATTGGCCTTGCAAATGTTTTAAGCTCACCCTTTCTGAAGATCTTCAACTCCACTTTACGGACCTTGCCATCCTTGCTAGGAAGAACCTTTGTAATTAGTCCCATAGGCCAGTCAATCCGTGCGGTATGTTGCTCCTTCATCAACACGAGGTCACCTTCTTTTAGGTTTGGTTGTGTGTGTTGCCACTTTCTTATTCCTTGAAGAATATTGAGATACTCCTTTCGCCACCTGTTCCAGAAGTAATCAGCTAGGTATTGTACACGTTTCCATTGTTTTTGGTAGATATGAGTAAATTCTCCACTAGGTATTAGCGTAATCTCAGTTTTTTGGGTAAGTAGGATAGCTGGAGTCAGTACGGTTGGTGTTTCAGGATCCATAGATACTGGCACGAGGGGTCTAGAACTGATGATAGCTGAAACTTCAGCGAGAAGGGTGACTAGAGTCTCATGTGTGAGTCTTGAAGAGTTTACATCCATCAACATAGAATTCAAGATGTTGCGTGAGATCCCGATCATTCTCTCCCAGGAGCCCCCCATGTGGGAACTATGAGGAGGATTGAAAATCCAGGTGCAACCCTTTTCCGCCAAGTGATCTTGAATGGATTTGGTGTCTATGTTCAGTTCTCTACAGGCTCCAATGAAGTTGCTTCCACGGTGAGACCTCAACTGTTTCACTGGTCCTCTGATTGCGAAGAACCGTCTTAAGGCATTAATAAGGCTGGATGTGTCCATGGATTCTATGACCTCTAAGTGAACGGCTCGCACACTCATGCAAGTAAAATAGTACAGCCCAACGCTTACTGTTTGCGTGCCACGGGGTCCTACGTGCGGACACCATCCATGGCCCGAAGACATCTAGGCCAACGTAGGTGAAAGGCGGCTCTGTACATAGTCTGTCCGCAGGCAAATCAGCCATTTGTTGATGTAGTTGTTTTCCTCTAGCCTTGCGACAGTGAACAACAGTCATGCAATACTTGGGCCACACGTCTTTTCATACCTATAATCCAAAGGGCCAGCAGACCGTAACTTGCCCTCAGTGATTTGCCTGCCCTGGTGTTCAGTCTTTTTGTGGGTGGTAGTGTCGGATCAGCAAGACAGTGATATGGTGTTTGCTGGGAATGATGAAAGGATTTCGTTTTCTGCAACTCCTAGGTGGGCTTGATTCAAACGACCACCAACTCTCCTGAGCAAGCCAAAACTGTCAATAACTGGATTTAAGTTGGCAAGAGGCTTTTTATTGGAATCTGCTGTTTGTTGTATAAGCACTTCCATTCTACATTGAATTCCTCTTGTTGACGTGACGTATTATGAGGGACTCACTATGAGAGATGTTTTCTCCGCAGAGGAAGGGTTTATGGCAGACGTGCCAACCGTGACAATCCTTATCTTTGTGAGTATTGTGATGAAGAAACATTTCACAATGTGCACTAACCTTGCGATAGTCCTGACGAGTCTCATCCAACTGGAGAAACGTTCAAAGCGCTGGCAACCGAGGCTGGAGGTTTGCTTTGTTCCAGTGACCAATACACTAACATTCAGCATGGATTTCTGGATCCATTATCCGGATCCTGGATGCTGAAAACTTCCTGTACACATTCGTCCGCCCTGTCTTAGCAGAAACTCCGGACCTGTAAGCCAAGTAGAGTTAGTAAAGGAACCTACAGACATAGGTCTAGTGGCAGATGATCTGCTGGATTAAGTTCGGATGGTACATAGTACCATTGTTCAGGTTTGGAGGACCTCCTGATTCTCTCTATGCGGTTACTGACGTAAACATAAAATCATCTCGTCTGATTGTAGATGTAACCTAATACGACCTTACTGTCCGTGTAATACTGAACTTCATCTATGTTGACACCTAGTTCTTCTTGTATGAAGTCTGCTCGCAATCTCCACTGCTAACACAGTCCCACAGAGTTCAAGTCTGGGAATAGTATGACCAGGCTTGGGGGCTAACTTAGCCTTACCAAAGACGAATCCAACGTGATTTTGCTTGTTGGGTTCTGTGACCTTCAGATAGGCGACCGCTGCTATGGCCTCTGTGGAGGCGTCCGAGAACACGTGGAGTTCCTTCTTTACGCTAGAAGTAAGTGAGGTTTTAATATGTCAGGAATGTACTGGCCAGCAATGGTGGGACTCACCTGCCTTTTGATCTGCAGTACCAGGGCTGGCCAGCGGATGCTCCCAGCAATCAGAGACTCAACTTTGCAGCCAGCTAACACCTGGAACTGATTATGCTGGGGGTATTTAAGGGATGGCCAGACCCACAGACTCTGCCTTGGTGTTGTGTTCTCTTGGGCCCTGGTATCCTGTTCCTGCTCTCTGTTCCTGTCTGATTCTCTGCTGACCCTGCTCTGATCCCTGGCTTGTCTGACCATCCCTCTGCCTGACCCTCTGTACTACGCTGCTTGCTACCTGTTCTGATCCCTGGCTTGTGACCCTGACCATGAACCCTCTGCCTGACCCTCTGTACTACGCTGCTTGCTACCTGTTCTGATCCCTGGCTTGTGACCCTGACCATCCCTCCGCCTTACCCTCTGTACTACGCTGCTTGCTACCTGCTGAACCTGGCCTGTGACCCTGACCAATCTCCGCTTGCTCCCCCTGTACCTACCTGCCCTATTGATATTGACCCGGCCTGCCTGACGACGCTTGCTTGTATTGTTACTGTTATCTGTGGGTGGTTGGTTTGGTTTGGTTTGGTTGGTTGCACTGTATTATGTTTTAGTATTGCACTGCGTTTATGTTTGTATTGTTAGTGTTAATAAATTATATTGTTTATAACATATTCTGAGGTCTGCGTTTCCCTGCGTCAGCCACACACACCTCTGGTCCACACCTGGGAGCCCTGACATTACACCAAGGCCAATCCTGACCAGAAGTGGCTGCACAGGGAAGCCATCTTGGCTTGTTGATGGGAAGGATGGATCTGGATGAGGTTGCGTATTTATATCTGCTAGTGTTTGATGACAGGGAGTATGCTTATCAAACTCTGAAGGAGTATCCCAGGGATCAACTACTAGAATGTATACGGCTCGCTCATGTTCTAGTAGATCAGGGCACAGAGTTCTCTGAGGTGCAGCCTTTGATTGAGGTTTGTGCTGAGTTGGTTTCATCTGGTTCCCCCTGAATGCAGGGATGAATTTTTGCCACCATTTAGTGCAGACCAGGTAGAGTCCCTGGTGTGGTTATTAGAGGATGATGTGGGTTACTTTTCTGGAGCGTTATTCCACATGTTCACCACAGACACTAAGAGATTGTATAAATGCAGTGCAGTCATTGACCAGACAGGCTTTGTGTAAGCTCAGCTTTGTTCAACCCATACTGCAGACATGGACAGACTTGTTGCACCCAGCCTCAGTCAGCTTACAAAAACCCAGTCCTGCTTCTAAATCTACTCCTGTATTCCCACCAGCTCCTCCAGTTACAGCCCAGTATACTTGGCTATCTACCGCATGTCAGTACCCTGTTCCCACTCGCTGCACCTATCCTGCCTTTAACCCTGTAAAAAAGCCCTCTGTAGCAACTGCTCCCTCTCCTGTTCCATCCTCCAGTTTTTCTCTGTCTCCAGCTGCTCCATTCGTTTGCAGACCTGCGTTTTACTTGCAGTGCTCCAGTAGTTAAAACCAGAAAAAAGCGAAAATTCTTTCCAACCAATACCATCCTGCCAGTATCCAAACCGGGTGTAACCTGCTTCCGTGACTCAGCTGAAGCCTCTACTCAGCCTGATGCCTCTACTCAGCCTGATGCCTCTACTCAGTCCCTGATGACTCAGCCTGATCTAGCGCACTCAGCCATGATGCCTCTACTCAGCCTGATGCCTCTACTCAGCCTGATGCCTCTACTCAGCCTGATGCCTCTCCTCAGCCTGATGCCTCTCCTCAGCCGGATGCCTCTCCTCAGCGGATGCCTCTCTTCAGCCGGATGCCTCTCTGTCAGCCGGATGCCTCTCTTCCTCAGCTTCAAGCCTGATGCCTCTCTTCAGCCTGATGCCTCTCTTCAGCCTGATGCCTCTACTCAGCCTGATGCCTCTCCTCAGCCTGAAGCCTCTACTCGGCCTGATGCCTGCATTCAGCCTGATGCCGCTACTCACCATGATGAACTGATCCAGCCCGACGATCCTATTAGGCCAGTTGACTCGATGCCCGCTGTTGATACCAGATGATCCGGTACCTGATCAGTGCCTGCTCTTGTCGTGCCAATTGACTCAGAGCCTGCTGTCATACCTGGTTGACCCGGTGCCCACCTGCGTCTTGCCAGATGACGCGGTGCCGCTGGCAAGCCAAATGACCTGATGCTGGTGACCCAGTGCCCGCCCTGTCATACCTGGTGACCGGTGCCCGCAGTCTTGCCAGACGACTCGGTGCCCGCAGTCTTGCCAGAAGACTCGGTGGCCCGCAAGTAAAGCTCTTTCCAGGACGTTGACTCGGTGCCCGCATGTTGCCGCGACTCAGGTTTGCAGTCTTGCCAGAGACGACTCGGTGGCCCGCAGTCTTGCCAGACGACTCGGTGCCCGCAGTCTTGCCAGACGACTCGGTGCCCGCTGTTCCGCACCTTGTTCTTGCCAGACGACTCGGTGCCCGCAGTCTTGCCAGACGACTCGGGGGGGGTGCCCGGTGCCGCACTCCGGTGCCCGCAGTCTTGCCAGACGACTCGGTGCCACTGTTCCGCCAGTTGACTCGATGCCCGCAGTCTTGCCAGACGACTCGGTGCCCGCAGTTCCGCCAGTTGACTCGGATGCCCGCTGTTCCGCCAGTTGACTCGGTGCCCGCAGTCTTGCCAGACGACTCGATCTCGGTGCCCGCAGTCTTGCCAGACGACTCGGTGCCCGCAGTCTGTTGCCAGACGACTGGTTGGTGCCCGCAGTCTTGCCAGACGACTCGGTGCCCGCAGTCTTGCCAGACGACTCGGTGCCCGCTGTTCCGCCAGTTGACTCGATGCCCGCGTCTTGCCAGACGACTCGGTGCCCGCAGTCTTGCCAGACGACTCGGTGCCCGCAGTCTGTGCCAGACGACTCGGTGCCCGCAGTCTTGCCAGAACGACTCGGTGCCCGCAGTCCTTGCCAGACGACTCGGTGCTTGCCAGACGACTCGGTGCCCGCAGTGCCAGGACGACTCGGTGCCCGCAGTCTTGCCAGACGACTCGGTGCTCCCCTGTTCCGCAGTTGACTCGATGCCCGCAGTCTTGCCAGACGACTCGTGTGCCCGCAGTTCCGCCAGTTGACTCGATGCCCGCTGTTCCGCCAGACGACTCGGTGCCCGCAGTCTTGCCAGACGACTCGGTGCCGCACTGTCGTGCCTGCCAGACGACTCGGTGCCCGCTGCCAGACGCGGTGCCCGCAGCCTCGGTGGGCCCGTCTTGCCAGACGACTCAGGTGGCCCCGTTCCCAGTGAGGGACTCGATGACCTGTCGCTGCCCGCATCTGGGGGTGCCCCAGTCTTGCCAGACCTCTGGTTGCCCGCAGTCTTGCCTGATGACCGGCTGCCCGCAGTCTGGGGCCCGAGTGCCCCTGTCAGCTCCATCTGTCTTGCCAGACTAACACTCGGTCGTCCCGCCCGCCCGTTGACTCGATGGCCCTCCTCCCTGAGGGGCCCGAGACCTGTCGCTCCATCTGGGGGTCCGGCGCCCGAGACCGCTCCGCCTGAGGGCCCGAGGACCTGTCGCTCCATCTGGGGGTCCGGCGCCCGCCGCCGCTCCGCCTGTCGCTCCATCTGGGGTTCCGGGCCCCGCTCCGCCTGAGAGACCTGTCGCTCCATCTGGGGGTCCGGCGCCCGCCGCTCCGCCTGAGGGCCCGAGACCTGTCGCTCCATCTGGGGGTCCAGCGCCCGCGCTCCGCCTGAGGGCCCGAGGACCTGTAGTTCCGCCTGGGGGTCCGGCGCCCGCCGCTCCGCCCGGGGGGCCCGAGGCCTGTCGCCCCCCCCGGGGGCCCGAGGGTCGCCCCGCCCGGGGCCCGAGGCCTGTCGCCCCGCCCGGGGGCCCGGTGCCTGTCGCCCCCCCGCCCGGGGGCCCGGTGCCTGTCGCCCCGCCCGGGGGCCCGGTGCCTGTCGCCCCGCCCGGGGGGCCCGGTGCCTGTCGCCCCGCCCGGGGGCCCGGTGCCTGCTGCTTCGCCTGGTAGCCCGATGTGCCTCTGCCCGGAGTCCAGCCCGATGTGCCCTGCCCGGAGTCCAGCCCGATGTGCCTCTGCCCGGAGTCCAGCCCGATGTGCCTCTGCCCGAGTCCAGCCCGATGTGCCTCTGCCCGGAGTCCAGCCCAATGTGCCTCTGCCCGGAGTCCAGCCCGGTGTGCCTCTGCCCGGTGTCCAGCCCGATGTGCCTCTGCCCGGTGCACCGCTGCCCGGAGTCCTGCCCGGTGTGCCAGTCTTTGATATCCCGCCAGTTACCAGACCCGGGCGGTGGAACATTTTTCCCAGCTAGGACTGTTTGGAGCGTCCTGAGGCCGCTCCTTGAGGGGGGGGTACTGTCAGGAATGTACTGGCCAGCAATGGTGGGACTCACCTGCCTTTTGATCTGCAGTACCAGGGCTGGCCAGCGGATGCTCCCAGCAATCAGAGACTCAACTTTGCAGCCAGCTAACACCTGGAACTGATTATGCTGGGGTATTTAAGGGGATGGCCAGACCCACAGACTCTGCCTTGGTGTTGTGTTCTCTTGGGCCCTGTATCCTGTTCCTGCTCTCTGTTCCTGTCTGATTCTCTGCTGACCCTGCTCTGATCCCTGGCTTGTCTGACCATCCCTCTGCCTGACCCCTCTGTACTACGCTGCTTGCTACCTGTTCTGATCCCTGGCTTGTGACCCTGACCATCCCTCTGCCTGACCCTCTGTACTACGCTGCTTGCTACCTGTTCTGATCCCTGGCTTGTGACCCTGACCATCATCCCTCCGCCTTACCCTCTGTACTACGCTGCTTGCTACCTGCTGAACCTGGCCTGTGACCCCGACCAATCTCCGCTTGCTCCCCCTGTACCTACCTGCCCTATTGATATTGACCCGGCCTGCCTGACGACGCTTGCTTGTATGTACTGTTATCTGTGGGTGGTTGGTTTTGGTTTGGTTGCACTGTATTATGTTTTAGTATTTGCACTGCGTTTATCTGGGAGCCCTGACATAATATAGCATCTTGGGATGTGTATCTCATCCAAAGCACACAAAGATTGCTTCCAGGCTTCCCATTTTTGCTCTTTATCGGAGGGAAGTGGGGTATCCCAATCCTTGATGGTTTCAGAAAGCTGTTTCAGTAGGGATTTACCTTGTATGGTGATGGGCGCTACAAATCCCAGCGGATCAAATAGGCTGTTTACCACTGATAGGACCCCACGTTTTGTGAATGGCTTGTCTGCACAACTTATTTGAAAACCGAAGGAGTCAGCCGAGAGATCCCATCTGAGGCCCAAGCTCCTCTGCACGGGTGGACTGTCCAGTCCCAGGGTAATGTCTTTGAATCCAGGTGCATGATCACCTCGCTCGAAGGCTCTCATTACGGTTAGGCTGTTCGAAGCAATTTTGTGTAGTCTAAGTTTAGCTTGGTACAACATATTTTGAGTCCTTTTGAGCAGATCGATAGCCGCTTCTTCAGTTGGTAGCGATTTGAGCCCGTCGTCCACGTAGAAGTCTTTTTCCACAAAGTCTTTGGCATCTGTACCGTACTCAGATTCCCCCTCTATTGCAGTTCTCCGAAGCCCGTACGTCGCTACGGCTGGTGAAGGGCTGTTTCCAAACACATGTACCCTCATACGATACTCCATCATCTCTGCGTTGGTGTCATTGTCCTTGTACCACAGAAACCTGAGGAAATTCCGGTGGTCCTCTCGGACTACAAAACAATGGAACATATGTTCAATGTCAGCAGTGATGGTGACAAGCTCTTTCCTGAATCTCATCAGCACTCCGACTAGGTTATTAGTCAGATTAGGACCTGTGAGAAGAATATCGTTAAGAGATACACCTTGATGTTTGGCGCTTGAATCAAAGACAACCCTAATTTGATTAGGTTTTCGTGGATGATATACTCCGAATGAAGGCAAGTACCAGCACTCGTCATCCTTCCTTAAGGATGGAGCTGGTTCTGCATGGTTATTACGGAATATTTTATCCATAAAGGCGACGATGTGTTCTCTCATTTCAGGCTTGCTGTTCATGGTACGCTGAAGAGAGTTAAATCTAGACAGAGCTTGTTCCCGGTTGTTCGGGAGTCTTACCCTGTTAGCTCGGAAGGGTAATGGAGAAACCCAGTGATTGGTTTCGTCTTTAAAGAACTCACTGTCCATTATCTTGACAAATTCTCTGTCCTCTACTGACAAGGCTACTTTATCGTCGTCCTTGGTTGTATGAAAGACTGATCTCCCCAAGTTGTCGGCAAAGAGGGGAGTAATGACGTCAGGTAGTTGTACGAGGCCTGGAGACTTCTCTTTCACCTCATAGTGATGAGGACACGGCTTAATGCAAGTTGTGCGTCCATCTGCACGCACGTACGTTTTGAAGGAGTCGATTTTTGGTTGATCTAAGCATACATTTCCTATGATTACCCATCCCAAGTCCAGTCTCTGGGCGTATGGTGCATAGTCAGGACCATTACACTGTTGACGCACCTTGTGTACCCTTAGATTGTCTCTGCCGAGCAGGAGTAGAATCTCGGCGTTGATGTCCATAGGTGGGATAACGTTGGCTAGGTGCCTTAGGTGAGGAGGTTGGTGAAATGCAGCTTCTGGGGTAGGAATCTCATCCCTATGGTTGGGTATTTGATCGCATTCGATCAGCGTCGGTAAGGGTATTTCCGTATCCCCACTGACAGGAGAAGCGATGAATCCTTGTGCCCTTCTGCCGCTAGTCTCTATACGGCCCGAGCAGGTGTGTTTAAGGTATAGGGTTCAGATGGTCCCTTTATTCCAAAGGCTTCAAAGAATTTAGGACCTGCTAGGGACCGGTTGCTTTGGTCGTCGATGATGGCATACATTTTTACTGCCTTTTCTGGTAGTCCCTCTGGTAGTAGACCTTGATTAGGCATATTCGGGCACAACATTTCTCGCACTGGCCCTCCCCACATACATCCAAGCATGAGCAGGAAACAGCAGTCGCTGCATTAGCGTAATTTTGGGGCTCCCCGCCATGACTTGGAGCAGGACTGGTGGTGACGGCAGTGGGTGAATCTCTGGAGAGTGGGATTGGGTGCATAGCTGAGGCATGTCTTTCACTATGACACTCCTCACACTTGATGACAGATTTACAGTCCTTAGCCATGTGCTCCAATGAAGCGCAGCATCTGAAACATACCCCGAGCTCGGTGAGGATTTTCTTGCGCTCCTGTATGGTTTTGGATCTAAACCCTCTACATTTGTTCAGAGAGTGTGGTTTTTTATGAATGGGACATTCACGATTGAAGGTCTTATCTCCTGATGAGGTAGTGTGTACTGTTTACCCGTGGGTACTGCAGGAGATGGTAGGTTAGTCTTTCTAACACTCACGCTGCTCTTGAAGTCTCTGTGTTTATGCGTGATGCTTTCATACCTTGATGATGATGTTGCTGAAGCTGTAGTGTTGAACTCCAGGAAGTCGAGGCTGGGGTCATTCCTCATCTGGGACTGTTCATCGATAAACCTACAGAAGTGAATAAATGGGGGAAAGGTGATGTCATGCTCTCTTTTGTACCTTGAGACTGATGCCGCCCACTTTTCTTGCAGACTGTATGGTAGCTTCACGACAATTGGGTTCACTCCATGAGCTGTATCCAGG